ACAAACCCAGGTCCACCTGCTCTGTGAGGTGTGAGGTGTGGGGAGTTGTCCACCATCTTGTTACTTTCATTTAGTCTTGGCTAATTTCATCTCTTCCCTGTGACTTGGTGCAATGGTAGAGAGAAAGAAAGATTTAGGCCCAATCTCTTGTGCCAACTTTGTATACATTTCTGGAGCTCATTTGCCTTTCTTCTTTTTCTATAACCACCTGAAGGAGGGTGCAGCTGAGGGGGCAGTGCCAGCCTTCTGAATGCCCACATCTCCCTGGCAATTAAGGTAGGAAAATTCCCTATCAATGGAACCAGTGTGAAGGTCCCTAAAAAAGAGAAAGTCTTCTTAGAAAGGGCCGAGAATTTTGATAGGACACAGCTTCTTCAGGAACCAAGAAGAAATTTGTGCTGATGGGGACCTTAACAAGACTGGGTCCCTTAACACTTATGACATGTAGCAAAATGAAAAAGGGGGTTGTTATCTTGCGCGTCTGTTGCCTTCTCCTTTCCAGAGTAGATTTCCCTGACTTCTGCCTATCTTGGGGGAAACCACTTTTCATGATGATGATGACAATAATGATATCATCAAACTGTCATGGATTGAGGAACCTCTATGTGCCAGATGCTCAACTAGTGACATGTATTATTTCCAAGCCCTCACAGGAAACTTTGAAGGAAGTTATTATTAACCCGTTTACATTTGAGGCAATTGGGGCTCAGATGTCACAGAGTTACAGCGAAGCACAATACAAGAGAGCACAGCTTCTGACGGCAATAAGCAGCTTGTCTGTCCTAAACAGAAAACTAATCATCTGAGTGGAAACAAAGAGAAAGAAAATGACTGTCCAAATATTTCTATTTTAAGAGATCCGGCTGTCGTCTCTTTCAGGACCCCTAGATTATAGTGTCAATCAATCAACAAATCAATGACTCAGAATTTACTGGGCATGCATTATAAACATAGCCTGCTCTGGGCTGGGGGTCATGGAACAGGAAAGAAGCAGCGCCATTTGTCTGGCCTGAGGGCAGGGAAAATGTAATTAGTTGGTAATGGGAATGCAGTCAAACTCAGAGAAAATAACCATTTCTATGATTTTTTTTTTCTGAGAAAGGTAAAAAGGTACATCCATCTCCAAAGCGTGTATATATTTAATTTAATTTAAAGCAAGCATGCTTCGGAGTGAGCCCTTCGAGTCTGAGATAACTCTACGATAAGAAATCAAGCTCCTCCGGCTTCCTCTGCTCTTCAGCGTCTTCCTCTGACATATCAGGAGCTCACATCTGGAGGCACAGTGGAAGCGTGGGCTCTCACGTTTACTTTGCACAAGGAGGAAATTCAAATGCTGTTCTCCATGCACATGACCGTCACAGAAGGAGGCCTCGACCGCTGTGTACTGTCGGCCTCCTCCACCAGTCTGTGTGAATGACGGCGGTAGGGGCCATATCTACTTACTGCATTGACATATCCCCCAGATCCAGAGCAAAGCCTGACATCCAGAGAGGACTCAAATACGTGTCAACTGAATGAAGGAGGAAACTACCACACGCATTCTATTCAAGCAGATAGAAATATTAATAGCAAGAGGAAGTTGACAGACTGTACTCTGGCATATATACACATATATTTGTTGGTTTAAATTGGTCCTGACAAGTCAACTTAAGTTTGGTGAAATTTTTAAAAAACAAAACACAGCAAAACCAAAAGTAGTAGTGTCTAAAATAATAGGTCAGTGTTTCATCTTCCAGAATTCTCTACAAATTTTAAAAGCAACTTTACCTTGGTCTTTTCCCCATTTATATGTTTTGGAAACGATGCTAACCCTAAATTTAATTACAGAACATTATTTCTTTAAAAATAAAAGGCAAAAAAAAAAAAGGGCATTGGTCCAGTTTACATCATTTGAGCAAAATACAGGAACTGACAGAAATTTAGAGAAAATTAGAAGAGGACTCTCTGCGAGAAAGTGGAAAAATGTGGGTAAAAATCATCTTTATCTGCTTTTTAACCTAATCCTCTTATATCTGAAACAAACATTGATCATTTTTTTCCTAAAGAAAATTTTTATCACTTATATAACATGGAAACATCTGGAGAAGAAGTAGCAAGTGTTGGTTTTTAAAATGCATCCTGCAGATATACTGGTAAAATTGGGTGTTGTAGGGAAAAACTAAAGACAATATTAGCTACGTGGGGAATAAAACAACAAACAAAAATGTAATAATTAAACTTTTCTTGAAAGCCCCAGGTTTCTTTGTGAACCACCAATAAAATTTCCTATTTTTGAAATTACACTTGTCTCTTTTTTTTCTTAACAAACCACCACAAACTTCACCTCATATGAAATGCATTCTGTCAAGACTCGAAATAATAACTGTGTGGTGACATTTCAGCAGCAGAAAGGATGACCTCAAAAAGTCATGTCAACCCAATCCTGACTGATGACAGCCACAGCCAGCCTGTTAATTAATGCCTGGGACGCAATGTGGACTTTTATGTCTTTACAACTAAATATCACACATCTAGCAACAGAAGAGACCTTTTTTTAGAAAAAAATAACCTTGATATTATGTTAGATTATTACGCCCAGAAGAAAGACGCTATACATCTACATTAGAGAACAAAAATACATTCTGTGTGATGTTACTTTCCTAAGGAGAAGAGAGAACATGGGGAAGAACTGACTTCATCCAAGCGTGTCAATTTTAACAATATGGAAGGTAGCCACTTTTGATGAGCATTAGGCAAACTGAAGTGCTGTAAGCTGCCCTCTCTTAGTTAACGCTATTCCTATTATTTTTTAGTACACATGAGGAGGGAGAAATAAACAGTTTGAACTTGTTCTCCTTGGAGAGGGTGGCTCACATGGTGAGTTCTGTACCAGCTGTGCTTCTGGGTCTCAGCAGGTGCCTGAGTCCCTCATAAGACTCGCCAAATTGCCTTGTATTTCACAAGGAATCTAAATTTTTCATTCTCTACAGTTTACTTATAAACTTGAGTGAGGGAAGCTGGTTTTAGTGATGGTTGATGTTTGTACCATATCGTTTGTTAAATATTTTTAATATCACCATTGGTTAAAAAGATTATAAATCTTTTATAAATCTTTACATACATAGTTGGTATGACAAAGTAGGTACTTGGAAATTGGTAGCTACTAATATTTTTCACTGGAAAACCAATGAACTTGGGTTCTGAAAAAACAAAACCTACTTACATAAGTTTGTTAAAAAAAGGATGGATGTGAGAGCTATGTGGTCATGATCCTCTGAGAGGGGATCATGGACAATCACAGAGCCTGTATTTAACAAGTCAGCTTGTCTATTTCACATCTCCAATCTTGCCCCTTGCCCAAAATCATGGGCATTGTGGCATCAAGCCTTACACTGAACAGTCTGGGGCACGGAATCAATGTAGTCTGAGAGTACTGGTGAAGATGAAGTCTGTGCTGCTATTCAAAATACAAATTTGATGAGAACTTTTCAGAATTGAAGCAATTCCTAAATCAATATCCGAACCTAATCAATATCTTTTTAACTTTCTAGTAACACCTATATTCTTTTTAAAATCTATTATCTTCTTAATTATAACAGTAGTCAAAAATTCAATTGTATGTTGCCCTTCCTTTGTTATTTAAATAATCTTAAAGATAAGTTGGGTGGACAGATCACAATCTGACAACAAATGAAAATGCTCCATCTGCACTGAGTTATTGATATCACCAGTGAATCTGGGAGTAACAGTTAGAAAGAAAACCCCTGGACATTGGACCACAGAGCCTCAGCACTCCCCAGCCTAAAGTCTGTGCAAGCAGCACTTCTGGGAGGGACTCAATCAATCTAGTGGAACATATTTCTTGTTTTCCCTACAGGACTTGGTCCAATTCCATATCTTTAAATGGAAAATATGATCATTTCTCTTGAGTTAGTCTCAATTTGTATTTCCCATCACTATCTTGCCCTATTATTTATTTTTCTACTCTATTAATAAACTATAGATTTGACCTATCCTTTTCCTGGTAAAATAACCTAGGGCACCAACAGCAAGAAATGTAACTTTATTTCTCTAGTTATCTAAATCTAGGCAATGTTATTTTGGGGAATAGAGAGATTGGCTTTCCTCTTTGTACAGACTCTATGAAGGCTGTGGTAAATGGTACCCTGACTAAAATAGCTGGGAGACATTTTAACTGCATTTCATAAATGAACTTTTTCACTCTCCATGGGTATTCTGAATTAAATTTTCCTTGGTATTATTCTACACTTTCACGAGTGTTACACTATCCAATTCAAATGGTGCATAAAGAGCTCATCCCAGCTTGTGAGGCGGTGTGGTATATGGCTGCATGGAGCAGGGTAAGAGGAGGTTTCCAGGCAGAGAGATGAGTCTCCATCCTTGTACAAAATACATCCTCAAGGTCCCTCTTATTATAAGAGACGGCACCAGACTTAATTTTGAGCAAATGGTTGTACACATAGGAATCCTTATAGACTCACGGATTTGTAACATGGGATTTCAATCCCTTATTGGGCTTAACCAACTTACAAAATTAATATTGTAAGAAATCAATATGTAGACATAACCAACACAGTTATTATCCTTCTGTTTGTCACCTGCAGGTTGGTCTCTAATTGAAGGCACATCTCCAGCTGTCACAGGTAGAGCACAGCATTAATTATTCTGATTATTTGTGAGTTCTACAACCTATCTACCATGAAAGGGAGATATCAGAAAGAACCAAGGCATCCTTTTCTGAGAACCAAGGCTGTGGCCGCATGACAGTTTTCTCTAGATCATGAAAGCAGGTCTTTGGATATCTTTCTTTTTAAAAAATAAAAGTGAATGGAGTTTCTCTGTCAAAGGAACAAAGGTTATTTGAACCTGGGGGAGCCATGACAGACATGGAGGTGATTTGGCCCAAGTGAAGCACGGATGAGAAGGGAGAAAGGGCATCATGAGATGAGCACGGCTGCCGCAGGGGAGGCAGGTGGAGGGTCGGAGGAGGTGGCGCTCACCACAGCCCCCTCCATAGGCTCCTCAGCCCCGGCGTCGTGTCCAGGTTCCAGCCCAACAGCAGGCGTTGCAGCGGCAGGGCGCTCCTCTGCTTTCGGCTCTGTGGGTGGAGCCTGTTCAGATTCAGCCTTTGATGGTTTGTTTGGAGGGTTAGAGGAAAAAGATTCAACAAGTGAATAGATAACATTACAGAATAATGGGCAATTAAGATTTCCTTCATCATCCTACAGGCAATTAGCTTCATTAAATCTGTACCGGAAAAAAGCCCCGCATTTGGCATCATGGGCCTTTATAGAACTGAAAGGTCTAGGAATGGACTAGTACTAAGCTTCTCTTTACCATCATCTGTCATTTCCCTTGAAGTGAGGCAAAGACTTACCATTTGGCTACTCAGTTTACTTACTGCAACTCACTCACTTCCTCATGACATCTTTAAGAGATGCTAAAATTGTACTTTCTGCTATTTAGCAGAGAGACAGGAGATCCTAGGAGCTCCCAGCCTTGCCAACTGGAAGGAGTGAGGAAGAGCTCACAGGCACACAGTTCTGGGACCTCCCAGCTCTGCTGACATGCATTGCACTAAAAAACTGAGGAGTCATCCCAATATTCAGATCAAAATGCATTAATCTGCATGCCCAGGTCACTATAAAGCTGTTGTGTCACTGCCAGGCTGGGAGGAGCAGACCAGGTTCCTGGCAAGTAGCCACCACAATCTGAGATACTTAGCTGCCTTAAATACTCCTGTCCAGTCCCTTCCCCTGCTCCCTCCAACAAAATCTTTCACAATCAGTTTATTTCACATAATAAACTGATTCTTTAAGGAACCACAGGGCAGTCTTCTCTGTGGCACCAATTACTCTTCTGATTGTGTGGACTTTTTCATCCGACTGTGACCTCTATGAATAGACATCATCTTTTTTTTTTTTTTTAATTTTTCTTTTTTTGAGGGAGATCAGCCCCGAGCTAACATCCACGCTAATGCTCCTCTTTTTGCTGAGGAAGACTGGCTCTGAGCTAACATCTATTGCCAATCCTCCTCCTTTTTTTTTTCCCCAAAGCCCCAGTAGATAGCTGTATGTCATAGTTGCACATCCTGCTAGTTGCTGTATGTGGGACGCAGCCTCAGCATGGCCAGAGAAGCGGTGCATCGGTGCGTGCCTGGGATCCGAACCCAGGCCACCAGTAGCGGAGCGTGCGCACTTAACCGCCAAGCCACAGGGCCGGCCCTAGACATCATCTTAATTCCAATTACATGCAGAATCAGGCCTCTAGAATCTCTTAAACTCTAGACATTTTTAGTTTTAAAATTGGCAATATTAAATAACAACAGGCCATTAAACACACCACAGCCAAGGCACGTGACCACATCTACTGAAAATGTTCCTTCTTTTTCAATCTTGATTAATATAAATAAGCATATTTAGGGGGCCGGCCCAGTGGTGCAAGCGGTTAAGTGTGCGCGCTGGGATGCAGCAGCCCGGGGTTCACCAGTTCAGATCCCAGGTGCGCACCGACGCACCACTTGGCAAGACATGCTGTGGCGGCGTCCCATATAAAGTGGAGGAAGATGGGCACGGATGTTAGCCCAGGGCCAGCCTTCCTCAGCAAAAAAAAAAAAAAAAAAAAAGCATATTTATTTAGCATGATTATTTCACTAAATGGATGGGCATTAGAGGGCATGTTAAGATCCTTTTCCATCAGAACGGTTAAACTGTAAAAAAGTTTAAAGGTGTTTTCTCACAGGAGTAAGAAGTCTCCAATTAATACTCTAATTGGAGAAACCAATAACTTCTGCCAGACTCTCACCAATTAACAGCCACCTAAGTTGGTGCACATGACATGTTCCATAAAGAGGTGATGAAAAAGTTATGCTGAGATTATATAAACAAATAATGAATAGCCTAGTGTTGGATAAATATAAAAAACATTTGTCCTGTGCCCCCTACAAATCCTCCATTGCAACACATGCCATGATCACACCCCCCTTCTCTTCAAGGGGCATAATAAAATGAAAGGACACTTTGGTAGATAAGTGTACAGAGATTGGATATTTTTATGGGGTTTTATAACTGTTAAAAGGTGATCTGACACAATTGTTAAGAAAGAATGAGATAAAATTCATTCTAATATACTCTCAGGAGTCCTTTATAGGAAAAGATTTCACTTTCATTGTTCAAAAAGAATTATCTTTGTAATGGAGCAAGTTTTCATAGCAGCAAAGAGATATTGTAAGCTCTCAGGGTACGATCTTACCCTTTTGGAAGTCAAGGTGATTTGCTATGAGAGCATGGTATCAAATGACCTACACAAGGAAGAACGGGAAGGGTAATTTGACAAAGCATCAAGAAATCCATACACAGATGTCTGTCCCCTCGGGAGCTGACTCTACACTATGGATGGAGGAAGTCTGAAGCCAGATGAGGGGCAAAGAGAAGTTTCAAAATATGAGTCAAATAAATGTATCACTGTATATTAAAAAAAAAAAAAACAGCAAGTGTAAAGATAGCTTAAAATGAAAAAATTATTTGCATCAGAGTCTGGGTCTCTTGGAAGTCAGAAGGAATTCTGAAGTTTTATATAAGGCAAGAATAAGTAGAGTGATTTCATAAATGAGTCGAACTGCACTGGCTTGCTGAGATCAGATGATGCGACAGACGCATAGTATGGAGAGGAGGTAGAATTGGTTATGTCCCCACAAGTCACAACATTTCCCCCTATATTCTAATATCACACCGAATACTACAATACAGCATTGCAACTTAACTTAAATTCCAGGGGATAAATATAACTCAGGGGATAAATATTACTCAATGATGAGTAAAGATGAAACACGATAGCATGATTGTACATAAAATTAGCTACTCAAATTTGGAAATAGAAGTCACCCTTCCATTCCTTCTCAGGTAATGTAAAATTGTAAATACTTTGTCAAGATAGAAAGAAAAACAAAGGAAAATTGTGACAACCTCTCAAGATGTAAAATAGTCCTGTTGGAACTGTGTCCTGCTTCAACAACTTTTTTTCGACAAGATGCCTCCTTTGACAGACATTGCGAGGGTTGCTACCTTGCCATACCTCTTTTGGAGCACTAGTAATGAATTCCTACTGTTTGCTGGAGTAGCGATGATCATTATACATTCAGAGGAGAGGTATACTCTATATTTATAGGTGGCAGCAGGATGCCACAATGGTTTAACTGAGACACAGAAATGGAATTTTTCCTTTAGAACAAAAAGAGGAGTGTAGCCTTGGTGCACATTTTCTAGTATCCTCTGTAATACGGTGGAACGTAAGTCAACGCAGAGGAAGAGGAGATGGGTCAGGTGAGCAGGGTTAAGAGTCTAGGCACATACCAATACGGCATTTGCCTCACAGTCTTGCTTCTCCAGTCTTGGGAGAGCTAGTTTAATGAGAACTGCAACGGGCCATGGAGCCAACTCTGAGCCCTGAACAAGGCCTGTAGATTCAAAAGAGTTTAAACTTTCACTCAAGGAATATGCTGTGGGGCCATAAGATGCAGGCTGGGAAGATGTGCAGCTGACAACAACTTCAACATCCATGTCCCTCTGAACAGTCCGTGAACCAAATGTTGGGAACTGTCCTGCTCCTGGGAAGATCTTGTATGGTCACAACTCAGTGGGAGGCAGAGATTCACTGTGATTTCCCAGCTCCTCACAGGCAGAGCCACAGCCTGCAGCATTTGCAAAGCTGGGCATGACAAAGTCAAGTTCCCCAAAGGAAAGAAGATTCAAGATGTCAGCTTCAGAGAATACATATCAAGAGGAGGGAAGGGCAGGCAATGGAAGCTCCTAAAACCAGCTATGGTGGGTAGAAAGATGTTCAGTGAAATTTAAAAACCACTGATTCTATGCCTGGACTTTTGCATCAAAGTAATAGGTGAGTTTAATTATGATACATTGCCTCTCCTTTTATACCAGTACTTCTCCATTTTTCTTAACCCATTCACAATTGATGATTAATAATCTCATCCTCAAGCATCAGTATAACCCTTACTCCATCACCCAGGCTGAGAATCACCAACGAACATGAAATATGGGTCTCTCTAGCTCCATTATTAACACCAATATAATTTGTACTTTAAACATTTAAATCTTTATGTGCAGGCCACGCACTCTTCTTTTCACCTGGTTACCCGAAAGGCAAAAGTATGACAATCTATGGACAAGGTATTAGAGACACATTTGCCTTTGAAAAATATCATATTAACCTTTAAGAGAAACTTCCCAGAATAGAATTCCTTACATAGAAGTGAAATCATCTAAAGAGAAAAATTCATTCTACTTAAATCCAATTCCATGCTTCCAATGTGAAAGCCAGGAGCTGGGATAATTACACACCATTCCTATGGGAAAACCAGTGAGCTACACATAACCCTCATGCACTAATCTTCAAAGAGCCAAAACTCTCTGTAGTGTATCGCTGACAAGCTCACAAGTGACATCACTCAAGGTCTCTTCATTCAACTTGAAGAGTAAGCTGCTGCTAGAAAGGTTTCCCATCATAACTGCCACACGATCTTGCAAGAATCTCCTCTAACACCAAGAGTAACTCTTTCTGCTTCCTACTCACTCCCTGGCTGAGCTCATTTCTCATCTCATTTGGCAGCAAAGCAGGAATCACATCTCTACTATGCATTATTTCTTTCTACAGCTCACAAAATGAAGGGAGGAGATGAGAAATGAGGTAGCTTCAGGTTCAAGAAAAAGCAAAGATCTATTTTGAAGCATGAATTCTTGAGGTAATTTCATTTTCAATCCTGTAGCCTAAGTGATAGTCACGTGGAAACATCCACGTCCTTGATGGATTTACTGTTTTCCACTGCAGCCCGTAATTAAGGAGACTGGTTTTTGCTGGGATCACTGTGCCTTTATAAACAGAAGCAACCATATTCAAAGTCACACTGAGATTTTTCAGAAGCTTTCCTTCCTATCTTCTAGAAAACAGAGGGCTGCAAAAACCACATTCTGGATATTCAAGCTCTAGATAACCTAGGATGATCAACCTTAGAACGTTCATCGGTAACTAACAACTTCCCAAAAGCAGAAACCAAAATCAACTTACCAAGTTACAGATCATACTCTGGTCTGTCTGCATCGTGAATAATGAAGTGTCCTGGGGCTGGAAATCGGGGAGAAAACAGAACATTAAAACTTATTAGAGTTCCAGCTAATTTGCTAAAAAAGCAACAACAAAGATATCACCTAAATTAGTTCCCACCAATTGTGTCAATAAATACATTATAAAGTTTTAAAAGGTCTCCATTTATTTTAAAGCAGAAAAACAAAAAATGCAAAAGTAATTTTTAACACAGTAGTTATTCTAAATATAAATCTGAGCTAGCAGAATACAATGATACAATGAGAGACACTAAATAACAGGCAGTGTCTTCAGGGACATCTTTGATCCACAGCTTCTCTTCTGGACATCTACACTGAATTAGAATTTAGCAGCTCTAAGCTACAAATTTAAACTTTTTAAATGTTGGAAAGTCAATCTTACTATATCACTTAAGTGTGATTTCTTTAAGTATGAGTCATAACTTAAAAATTTTATACAATACATTCATTGACCTAAAAATCAAGCTGGAGGAAACTGAAGGGAACAGTGGTCTCTAAGGGAATATTCATCTCTCATTACACTGGTGGACAGGCTTATACCCTCCATACAGGAAATCAGAAGAGTCTTTCCTAGAAAATCTGACCAGTTCAAAGAAAAAAGAAAAGCGCCTAAAAAATTTGACATCAGAGGCTCCCCAACAGAAAAGAGGAGCCAGTGACTGTATGTTAAAGACGTTGGATTGAACACATGCAATTACCTCTATTACCTCCAGAATCCAAACTAAACAATAAGGAAATTTTTTAAAAGCATAAACCCATAAGGGTAAAAAGAACGGGAAGAAAGACAACAGCAAGAAAATTTTGAAATTGAAAAGCAGGCGAATGAACAGTAAGTAACTTGGTGGATCCAAAAAATCTGTACCCTAAGGTGATGTAAGAAATGCCAAAAAGCAACCCAAGTTACTATTCGGAACTCCCAACGGATCAAGAATTAGAAACATGGGGGCCACAGAAAACGATAGGAAGGAAGGTGGTGCTAAATGGAAGGAAGGGTGGTATTAAAGACAGGCAACTATTTGAAAGTCTATCAAAAAGTAATTAGACCTCCAGGTAACTCTCATCTATTGGAAAATCAAGCAATATCCCTTCCCACCCCTGCACAAGACTTGAGATTGTTCCACAGAGGCTGAAACAGAGGGTCTTGGGACTGGGGCACAGACAGGCATATTAGGAAAGTAGCAGGATTAAGTGAACATTTACATAATAAATATTGAGCACATGGGCCCCTCCCCCCTCCCCCCAACTTCTCCCCCATTCACCTCCCATTACACTGGCAGCCAGGCATGTACTTCCCAGATAGGAGACCAGAAGAGTCTTCCTAGGGAAATTTGACCAGCTCAAGAAAAAAAACGCCTAAAGAATCTGACATCAGGGGCTCCTCAACAGGAAAGATGGGCCAGAAAATCCTACAACAATACTCATGGTCAGTGGGTACCTACCCATGCAAGTTTCAGTTCAGCTTTTTAGTGTCCCATTCTTAAATATGAGTAGAGAGCAAAGATCATCAGACATTTGAGACTCTTCTCAAATACGAAAGTGAGAAAACAAATAGCGGGAAAAAAAAAGGCAAGTGGAAGAGAGAAAGACTTTGCAGTAGGAAAAAAAACCTTCAAAAATGATTACTATTATTAGTACTCTCAGAAATATAATGGAAGATGTTGTATTCATGACATAAGAAGAGAATGCTATTAAAATACAAATATTCAGTAAACAAGAAGAGCTCTTGGAAATTAAAAGAATTTAGAAGTGAAAAGTCTATCAGAAGAGTTGGAAAGCAGAGAAAGATGCCAGAGAAAAGGGAATAGGAGGGAAAAAAATAATTAGAACACTAGCTCAGGAACATATGAAAGACAGAAATGTTACAGAGTCAGAGAACACAGGAAACAAAAGAGAGAAATCGTCAGTAAAAAAAAAAAATTCCCCTAAAGCAAAAAACATACATGTTTAGATTAAAGTGTCTAGTACAATGTATGAAAATAGACTCAGACAACAGCACATCATTGTAAAATTTCAGCAACAGTAGGGTAAAAAGAAGATTCCACAAAATTCCAGAGATAAGAGGTTCAGATAGGTGTATAAGGGAGATTTAGGGGGTGAGAGAGGATTTCTTACAAAATATCAAGAATCAAAATGACAGTTTCTCAATGGCAACAGTAGGAGGTAGAATTAAGTGGAGCAATGGCTTCAAAATCCTAAGAGAAAATGATTTACAGCTTTTACTATAATATCCAAACTAACTGTCAATTATGTATAAGGGAATAAAAATATTTTCAGATGCAGAAGGTCACAAATACACACTTCTCCTGCACACTTTTCTCAGGAAGCTACTGGAAGATGTGCTCTACACAAATGAGAGATTAAACCACAAATGAGGAAGATCTGTGTCCAGAAAAGAGTGGATCGACAGAAGAGAGAGGTGAAGGCAACCCCCAGAACAGATGTAACGGGAGAGCCTGTGGTAATAGCCGTGCAGCAAGTCACAGCTACGGAGTCCCCAGTTCAGAATGGAGCAGTCCAGAAGGACAGAGAGGGAAGTTCTTCAAGAAGATGAAGCTGATTGATATTTAATATTGCCAACAAAATGAGAAGAGATTGATGTAACTACAGAGTAGGGGGTTGAACTAGTGATAAATACCTAGAAAACTAAGCAAACCAATCAACAAGCAAACAAATAAGACCCTACAATTATTTCCTCAAAGGAAAACAGAAAGTTGGCATAAAAGGAAATGTAAACTTCATGACTTGAGCACTAACAGCATTTATGTCATCATAATAGGACCACAGATTGGCCGGATGGCTATGATGGAACTGTATCAGAGGGAGGGAAGGAAGCAGACGAGAAATGTGAACTGTGAGGGTAGGAGGCTGAAGTGCTTTAAGTCCTCACCGCCCAGGGAGATGAGTCAAGAGATAATGCTTCAGATATCAAGAAGCAGCTTTATAGGAAAGTCATACACACATAGGGAGGGGGGTGAAGCCAGACAATCTGTTACAGGAGAGAAAGTGTTTACCTCTAAGAAACAGGAAATGGAGGGGGTGTATGATGGTCTGCAATTTTTAAGTAAAAAACTCTCATAAAATTTTGTTACTTTTTAAATTATGCGCATTTATAACTGATAAAAATACAAACGTAAAAGAATGAGAAATGAACAACAATTCTTATGACATGACCTTTACAAAGAGTTTTATGCAGATGGAAGAGATGCATTATCATCTCTGTGTTTGTATGTATCTGTATTGGGGCGCGGGTGTGTGAGTGGGTTTTATCTGTTTATAGGTAACATGGGGGAAAGTAATCAAACTTTTAAATAGAGAAATTCTAAATGTTAAATTTGAAATTGTTCATGTCTAATATTCTGAAACAAACCATTCATTACAGACAAGCCTCTGTTTGAAGCCTCCTTGAAGAGGTTCTCAGAACTTATTCCATGAGCTCAATAGCCACGTGGCCTGCCTTTTACACGAGTTACAACTGTTCATCTGTCGGGACATAAACAGTGAATGAGACAGTCCATCTTCTGGTCCTCTTTCACAGACCCCCAAGGAAAATACCGTCTTATTGGACAGAGCCACCATCTGGTTTCTGATCTCCCCGATGGCTCCTTTCTGGAGAACCACTGAAGAGGTAAGGTTCCGTATAGTACGGCTCCGAACGAATCGTTAGAAGGAGGCTCCTAAAAACCTCTTCTATTTTCTAAAGGCCCATCTCATTAGTTCAAAACAATCCTATCTCCTCTCTTCCAACAGCTGAATCTAGTGAACTTCTCATATTAGGACAACTTCTAACTTCCTTAGTAGAGGAATCAGCAGAATTCCATGGTATAGCTAATAATATTAACAGCTAACTATAATCATGGAGCACTTAGAACGTGCCAGGCTGCTGGCCTAAGTGCTCTGCATGCATATCTCATTTAATCTTCACAACAACCCTACAATCTTGATACTATTACTATTTCTGTTATTGAATTTGTAAACAGTGGGGTAAAGTTTTGTGCTGACACCCTTAATCATCATGCTACACCAGCGACACAGAGGTCTATATTTTAAAAATTTGCATCATTCTCAAAAAGTGGATTTTGCCAGCAAATCAATTTCTTACCTGGGTGAATCCATTAAATGAACCACCAGAAGCCTAAACAGAAACAGAAATCAGAGAATGTTATTTTTTCATTGTTTTTATAGGATCAGTAAATGTCCATTAGACAAGTTGGAAAGTAAAGACCACCAGAAATTTTAAAATAATACAGAAGGTTACTGTGCATGAAAGTGCTTAGGAAATGCAAAAGACCATACTATATTATTTTAAATAGGCTGACAAAAAAAAGATTATTTTTACAATTATTGCTGGTCTATTTTTACAATTATTTGGTTAGCACTGTCGCTCAGTGTTAACCAAAACCCACTTTCTCAATTATGAGAAGATGATTCTAGAGAAGAGCCATGAGGCATTATGTAGCTCTTTTTTCAGTCCACTGATAGAATCTAGAAGAAGTATTTCCAGTATTTCTCTAATGCATCATTTTGATGAATAGCTATTATGAGATTCTATAGTTTGAGTGGGCCTGGGTAGAAACACTTTATGTGTTCTTACTTTAGGAACAGTAAATTAGTTCTGCTCTACATATTTTTTACTGCTTGAACAGTAAAAATGAAAGCAGAAAGAATACACACAATGAATGGGATGGTAAAATAGACTCTCATTAGTTCCAAACATAATCATTCTGCTTTTTGTGGGTTTTTTTGTCAACGTATTTGTGTTTGGTTTGCACAGATTTCAAAAGATACATGACAATCTGTCAAGGAGATGAGGTAGGCCTGAGAGAAGATAGTTAGGGATAACGAAGTAGGTGGGAAACATTAGGAAAAACAGAACCTACAGAAGTCTTGGGCTAGTCTATACTACATATTGGGGTAAGTACCTCTTCTTTATCAGCCTCTATTTCTTGGTACAATAATCCATATCTCTGGTTAGCAATTTCATCTTCAGATAAATCTGAGTTGTTGATGTCATTGTCTTGGGGACTAGCAGAACTCTCGGTGCTAGCATTCTGGGAGGTTCCCAGAACCAACAGTCTAGCTCTCTCTTGGCTTTGTTCCCAGCAGCTAGCAATGGCTTGTTCCCCACCTACATCTGCTTGTAAGTCCACCTCCAGCCCCTTCTTGCTCTCAATTATATCTAAATGTTCCCAGCAATTTTCTAAGGCTCCCATATCTCTGATAGGCCAGTGGTTAATAGAATCAAGCCAGTTGGCAAATCCACTTGCTCGGCCATCTGGTATACCAGAGAATTCCAATATATCCATATTATTCACTGATGAATCCAAGCTTGGCTGCCAGATTTGACCTGGATCTGTTCCCCAAGAGTTCGTTTTTGCAATTGTTGGCAAGTTAACGGTACGACTACAGTTTCCAGTCACTGTACTTTCAGATTCCTCTATTAATGAATCTTCTACCTTACACAAACACCAATCTCTTCTGTTTGCATTAGTTCCCAGAGAATTATAATTAAGATCTGCCCTAGACTGGGCTGCCACTTCATGTTTTATTGATAAAACAACAGCATGATTTTCACCCCTGTCACCTCCAGGATCATGTAACACAGGCTCACACTGAATCTCTTCAGCATCTACTCTGCCCTGTTCTGAGTGATATAGTACATCATGGTTAGGAGGGTCTATTAAATTTTTCTTTATGTCTTTTCTAGCTAAATCCCATCCCTCAGGGCTGACATCTTCAATATTAGATACAGAGTCAGTCTGGAGAGGCAGATTCAAAATACCTGTGTGATTGGCAGTTTTAGCCCCAGAGCCCTCTATAATTTCACAATTATTTATCACTACTTGAATCCCCTCATCTAGCCCTTGGTCTCCGTCACTAAATTCATCTGCTATATATACTCCTTCCATGTCTTTTTCTAATATGTCAGTTTTCTCAAAATACTTTTCATTGGTCTTTACACTTTCCATAAACCTAGCTCTTAGATCTTTACTAGTTTCCTCTTCACTGATTTCTAAGATCTCCCGGTCTTGCTTTCCTACTATCTTAAGAAGATCTACTACCCTGTTTCCTATACTTTCACAAGCCTTCTCTTCAAATTTGTCTGTTCCTTCCACTGCCTTGATATCAAGAGCTCCAGTGTCTACCTTTTCACATGTCTCCACACCTGCCCACATAGAATCTTCTGCCTTCTGTTTCTCTTCTTCATCCAACTTTTTAATATCTTCTTGACTTTCTTTGACTGGGCCACCAGTTTCCATGGCTGGCATCTCTGAGTCAGGCAAGTCATACGGCTGCTCCATCTCCATAGAAGCAGCAATGGCAAATTCAGCCTCAGGCACGGGCTTTGGGGACAACTTTTCATTTCCACATGGAAGGGCTGGCCCCAGGACATGCTCACCCTGTTCAGTGCGCCAGTCAGCAGAAGGAAGCATTCCGGTGAATAATCCCATGCCTTGCTCTGCTTCAGAGAGACATGCAGAGTCTTCCTGAGACCCACCTTGTGTAATTTCCTGGCTGACATTGTCTGTACTAGCATCAGGGCCCCACATAAATGCACCTAGATCAATTTGAGATCTTTGAATTTCTTCAGTCAACCCACTGTCTGGAGTTTCCTCCATGATCAGGTTACACAGGGAAAGACTTTTTGAAGAGTCAGTCTTTAGAGTATGCAGAAGAGCAAAGGGAAAAAAGAAACATAAGATGAAACAGATCATGGTAAGATTTGATGAGAAACACAAAGCTCTTCAGTAGGGTAGCACCAGTTAAACAAAACTACAGAGTAATTAAATTAAATGGCTTAAGGTTAAATTTGTGGCCAGCAATGCCATGAGAAAAAAAGCTCATTTTATATATCATGTATATAATGCATATTAATACAAAAAAATCCAGAATCTTCTGGATATTTACCTACCGGGTGTACCAAATCAGTGCTCGTCTGTATGAGTAAAAACAAATAAATAATAAATAATGATAAAAATCATAAGGCAAGAGAAGAAAATCTGCTAGCACCTTAAAATCCCATACTGTCCAGAGTCAACATTCTGCTAAAGGCTGTGGCTTTACTGGTTTGAGATTAAATATTACAACTTGCTTTGTGATAGCAATGAGTTTTGTTCCAATGTTGTTTAAGACTACACAACTGAAACATGAAGAAAGCCTCTGTCATTTTCTAGTATCAACAAGGATGTTTTATGGCTATTTCATGACTTCTGCTTTAGCAGACCCTGAAAAGCAAAGTTTCAAGTAAATAAACAAGCCTGAGAACTCCAAAATAAGATCAAGCACTGGCGGCCATAAAATTACACAGTATCATATGCTCTGACACAAGATCAGAATAAAATCTTCCCCAAACATATCCTGCACTTGGTTCTGTCTTTGAGGTGGTGTTTGGATGAACGATGATCTGATACCAACCACTCTGACTGCCTGGAGGATTCTCCTCGTATTTCCCTCCACCCTGAATCTAGAAGCCTTGTCTGCACGCACAGAAACGACACTGGGGAGCCGAGAGGATCAAGTAATGTGAGCAATTATGTACAAGGAGCTACTGTTTTGCAATGTTGTCACTGTTACCATTCCTCGCAGGTTTGTCCTTTGAAATAGTCGAGGCTCCTTCTAGATGATACCTTCACCCTCATCATACCCTTCCCAGCTAGGGAAGGAAAAAAGTGGTATAGCTCCAACTGAAGATGTGAAATACTGGAATAACAAAAAATTAGCATTGTCCCTTAATCTCCAAGAAAATTATCACAAAGTTGAGGCTAGAATTTAAATGTCCTGAATGCCAATCCATGCATCCCTTTTTGTGAATATATAAGTAAAACCAGCTGACTATAAAAAATGTTTTCAATCAACATTTCTTAGCTCTTCTCGAGAGCCTTCCATGATGCTCCAAGGATCCTAAGTAATGCAGTATAAACCTGCTCCCATGACAGGGAAGGGGACAGTCATCTTTCTGTTTTAAGGGAAGAAAGTAGCAACGTCCCCTCAGAAGACCAGGCTCATGAACAGCTAGAGCTACCAAACTTTCCTGTTGCTGTCTCACTGGAAAAGAAGAAAACGTGAAACTCAAGTTGAGTTCTTAAGACCAGGTGACCAGGGCTTTTCTAAGACAGAGCAGGCAAAGGCCCTACCCCAAGGGATATAAGGTTCTATATGGGTGTGGCCCATCTCCTAATTTCACAGCACAGATGCTGCCACCACAATGCTCTGTTTGTGTCTCTTTCCCAACTCTAAATTCTGGAAGTACTCATCTTTGCACATCAGACTAGCTGAACAGTTAGTAATATCTACCTTTTATTGATACATACCAGACACTGGGCTAAACACTCTACAAATAATATCATTTAATCCTCACACAACCCTCTGAGGTTGGTGTCATTACCCTTATTTTACAGATAGAAAAACTGAGGCATAGAGAGTTTTAGAAATTGCTCAAAGTTACAAGATTATAAGAAATAGAGTTGGACTCAAATCCAGGGCTGTCTGGCTCTAAAGCCCAAATTCTTATTGACTAAGCTTCATTGAATATGATAATGAAAAAATGGTTCCCTGTGCAGAGTAGCCCATCCCTTACATTTTCTCATCCATACTTGTCTTATATTCTATTTAAAAGCAATAACAAATGTACATGTCCTTCACTACAACCTCTCCTCTAGCTACTAATAATCACAGGAAGAAGCATAAGGGGGAATAACACCAAATTCTTGCCCATCCAGGAGTCTAGCACACTGACACCCTTTTCCTTACCATTGTTTCCAGTTGCTAGTAATTCTTGGAACTCTCGCGTGGCTAAAAATTGTTCTAGGGGACTTCATATTAAAAAGTCATGGGTCTTCTTTCCATCACAGATGAAATAAAACATAACAAGGTTTCCAAATTTCTAGGATCCAGATATATACAGAGTTCTTAGTACTCTTACCGTCCATAGGTCCCAAGGCAACGTCTGAAAGCAGAGACAAACAAAAATGCAGTTAGTATACAAATCCCAAGGATGTAAAAAATGCTGAGGTGATAAAAGTCCTTGAAATAAAATCACAAACATTTTAAAAACATTTAGTGCAGCACTATTCAATAGAACTTTCTTTGGTGATGAAAATGTTCCACATCTGTGCTGTCCAATATGGTAGCCAATAACCACATGTGGCTATCGAAATGTGCTAGTGTAACAGAACCCAATTTTTACTTTTACATAATTTTATTTAATTTAAATTTAAATGGCCACATGTGGCTAGAGGTTACTATATTGGATACCACAGGTCTAGTCCATCTGCCTTTCTCTGTAAGAGCAGAAAATTATATCCGAAACACGATGAATGGGTTTACTTTAATACACACACACAACTAAAATGAAGTAAACCAAGATGTCTAGATATTAGAGTTTATCACATCTTTGAAGAAACGTGGATCCTAATCATTGCTAATGCTATTTCCTCCCCTCCACCCACCAAATTCAAGAGAATACATTATGACCATTTGATGGTAAATGAATCTCAGTAAACTAGTTCTTCAATACACTGAATTAGATGATAACACACAGCCCAATCAATTGGAAATCATGCAAATTAGCAGGGTTTCCCCTAAGACATACGGATGAAATACACTTACTACTGGCATTTTAATTATAAAGCTTATTGATCCTAAGGAATGATCCAGATGGTTCAAATGACTTCCACTGTGTGAGAAAATAGAGGAGATCTCTCTTTCTTACTTTCTTTGTGATTGAGAACTACTGCTAAAGCCACATCCTTTTCTGCCCATGTCTTTGTGACTAGAATGGATCCATGTTTATGCACTTGTTTTGAATCACTAAATGTAAACAGCAAATTAGAGAGCCTGGCACTCCTATCTTAAGAATACGACAGTTTCCAGATGGGATTACAGATGTCTTATTTGAATTCTGTACTACAGAACATAGCCCTGTGGTTCTGACTGAACCCACCCATTTGTCTGGGCCGACTCTAACTGCACTGCCCCGCCCACCCTGCATCTCTGTGCAACCTGATTGGTCTCCGGGCTCACACCTTATTTGCAGAATGACTAAGAAAGGAGAGTAGAGCAGCTCCATTGAAAGCCACCGATTTTTGTACAAAGACTCCTTCTGCATCTGAAATGCATTTTCTGAGTATCCAGATGGTTTATGTTTTCTAGCTTCATAGCCCCTGAAGAATCACAGCTCCGAAAAAGCTACTACACATCCTTGCATAATGCAGACAGCACAAGCATTTTCTCTGAAGGAAAGCAGCAATATGAAACATCATGTTTATCAATCCTGAGGATCATGAAAGGATGTGTAAGCTCATGTAGACACTGCAGAGGTCACAAGGTGAGGTGTTCTGCTAGCAGCAAGAACATCAATTTAAAACATGGGGTCAGGTGATGGGTAGGGGAGATTATTTTGAATGAAGGGGATGAAGCAGAATCTAACCACTCTATGCTTTTTGTTATCTCAGCCTAAGACGACTTCTTAGCAAAAGAGGAGAGATGTGATTAGAGCTGGATCACAAGACGACTCTGCAGTGAGGTGACTCAATTAACGGCCACTGGGCAGCCAGAGCAGTTTATTACCTGACCCGAGGGAAGAACACAAGGGCACACACAGCTTTCCCTAACTGCAGTAATGCATTTTCTTCAGAACTAAGACTTCTGAAGGTTTAACCAAGGTCATGTTTTTTTTTAATTCTGAAAGAATCTCTTAGTCCTAAATCCATATAAAGTTTCAAGATTTATGGATTAATTTAATTATGAATTGATATAAAAGAGTTTTTTGTCTTGATTCAAACTTGTAGACAGAAATGCTGCAGAATCTCACCCACTGATCATCACAGGATCCACTGCGGAAACTTTCCCTCTGACCCTAAAGTAATGAGTGTTGGAGAGTCAGGCAGAGGCCGTGAACTCTGCTGGCTGTCCGCACGAGAAAGCTCTGAGAGGGAAGTATTCTGAATGATAGGCACGTTCATTGTCTACTTTTCTTGGCCAGCAAGGCAGAACCCTCACACTTACTGACAATTACTAGGTTAGCATTTCCCAAACTGTGTTTTAGAGAACATTCTCATGAATGTTAAGAAAATTTCATTAAACCAGATTTCTGTGGTCAAACAAATTTGGGGAACTCTAAGTTAAACAAATCAAACAATTTTTTCTTTTAATTGCAGAACTTCTTGGTGCCTTTAACACTCTGATGCACATCACGAATCTCCTAAAAAGGAGTTAATAGAACTTTCTAAAACATTCATCTAAGAGATCCTTTTTTGTGTGTGTGAGGAAGACTAGCCCTGAGCTAACATCTGTTGCCAATCCTCCTCTTTTTTGCTGAGGAAGATTGGCCCTGGGCTAACATCCATGCCTGCCTTCCTCTATTTTATATGGGATGTTGCCACAGCATGGCTTGATGAGCAGCGCACAGGTCTGCACCCAGGATCTGAACCTGTGAACCCTGGGCTGCCGAAGCAGAAGGCACGAACTTAACTACTATGCTACCGGGTCAGCCCCTAAGAGATCCACTTTTTGCAAAGTACCTTTAAGGCTAGTGTCTGATCTACTTAATTTCCTGCTTTATTGACATCTCAGATTTTTATTGTTCCTATGTTACAACAGGGAGGCCTTTAGAAACCCAATCACATTCTGGAAGAATGCATGGATTAAAGAGAAGCTTTATTTATTGAGGTTCAAAATGAGCTGTCTGTTCCCCTTTACTGTAAGATATCAAGAAGGCTTCAAGACCAGAAGACTGAGCTGGGTCTCAATTCTTAACCTGAGTTTTATAATACACCTGCATTAATTAATCTGAATATATTCTAGCATCTTTGGATTTGCCTAAATTCAAATGTGAGGCCTCAACCACATCCAAAATATTGATATAAACAATTTCTGTTTAGCCAAGCTTTTGAGTTAACTTCCTTCCATCAGCGTAGATAATTGTAAACTAACTATATTCCAAGAAGCACTCACAACTCATTACAGCACCCACCACCAGTATCCTTCTGACAGCAAATGCTATCACAATAACTACCAAAATCGGAAAATTGTTGAGAGTAAGGAAGTGATGAGCAAGGATAGGCTTTCATATGCAAGGCCAACTCTGCATCAAGCCATAATCAAGATCACGTAAGGGAAGCTTCTGCAATGCAAGGGTGAGGACAACATCACCAAATTCAGAACTATCAAGACTGAAAACATTTCTGTGGGACATAATCTCATGATTATTTCAAATATGCCTTAATTTGCAAAGTATGAGAAAGGAAAGTGGAGAAAACAGTAAGAAGATCAAACCCAAAGTCAAAAGAAAGAGCTTTACTTGGGGAAGCCATAAAATGTATCATCCAGGGGCCAGCCCCGTGGCTCAGCAGTTAAGTACGCGGACTCCGCTACCGGCGGCCCGGGTTCGGATCCCGGGCGCGCACCAACGCATCGCTTCTCCGGCCATGCTGAGGCCGCATCCCACATAACAGCAACTAGAAGGATGTGCAACTATGACATACAACTGTCTACTGGGGTTTTGGGGAAAAAAAAAACGAGGAGGATTGGCAATAGATGTTAGCTCAGAGCCGGTCTTCCTCAGCAAAAAGAGGAGGATTAGCACGGATGTTAGCTCAGGGCTGATCTTCCTCACAAAAAAATAAAAAAAAAATTAAAAAAAAAAAAACAAACTGTTAAATGTATCATCCAAACCTGGACAGTTTTGAGTGCAAAAGGGGGCACTATTAATAATTACTCTGAGAAAGACAATTCCTGAGCAAACTGGAATGTATGGTTACCCCAGCTCCACAGAGAGAGAAGGCTAATGGTACAAGGAGGTTTAGAATAATCGATACTGGTAAGGTCCTCTTTCTACCCTTCCTTCCCAATAGTAAATATTTGTCAACCAAAAAGAAAAAAAAGTAAATGGTCATTTGAAAGGGAGCGGGAATGCATCTGTTACCTTACTGAGCTTATTAAAGTTTATGAAATATCATCTTCAAACATCAAAAAAAACCACTTGATACCTGAGACATGGGTGAGTGGGTCACTCCAGCAGAACCTGCAGGTGCTACTTCAGGCTTGAAAGGGTCAAAGTCCAGATCCAACAAAGTCTCCTCTTTCTTCGCCTCAGGAACTTCATTCTGTCAAAATAAAACAAAACAAAACATGCATTAGCTTGACTTGGATAAGATTTCATGATATAACCCATGTACAATCCTCCAATGTCATTTGATATCCTTGAAGCATGCTTTGATAGTTTACCATATAGGTGGCCCATCCATATGCTCCCAGAGTCACTAGCTAAATGTGTTGAGAGGGGAAACAACCAGCTCTGGACAAGTATAACCTAAGATGCTTGGGAACATGGCCCAGGCTCCAATTCCTGTCCTTTGTCCAGCTCCAAGTCCAGCCAACAAAGAGAATGTCTGAGAGATGTGTCCTAATGCCACCAAGAGCCAAGGTATCTCCTTCTCTGCTAGTTCAGAAATCTCAGATCAAGAATACAGATGACCAGGTAGATAAAATGGGCCAAGGCTTGGATCCATTACAGTAACCCATTGCTGTGATGTTTCTCTGCAAAGCTAAAATTTAAAAAGGAAGGGATCATTGTCTACTGTTGACCACATCCCACCTGCCTCATCCTCTCAGAGATACCCTATCCCTTGATTTAGTTATTGTGTAATATATTCTTCATCCACAATATTGTTTGCCTTGACTATATGTATGAGGGAAGGAGGGTTGAGACACAGAGAGAGAGAGAGAGAGAGAATCATGTCCTCCAATCTTTGCTGCAAGATGAGCTCCTACCCCAATAACATTCTTGGATTAGAAAGAAGGTAAGCCAAACAAGACAGAGAATGCAAGTCTTGCTCTGACAATTGCAAAAGATTTATAATACTAAACATTAACATTTGTTCATCTATTGTGCTATCATGATATATAGGAAAACAGCATGGGCTTGAAGTTGGCCTAACCCAAGCTCAAGTTACACAGTAAGAGGCAGAGTTGAAACAAAGTCCCCATAAACTACACCACAGTGAAGAGACTTGGGATCAGTTTTCACACAGTTCGAGCTACGTGTGTTTGGTATTTGATATAAGCTTCAATTTTGACCACCTGTTGGCTAAAAATTGAAAGGTCACAACAAAGGATAAAGTGTTACATAAGAACACAGATGTTCAGAGAAAGATTTTAAACAATAGCCATTATTTTAATTAATATTGTCATAGACATAAAAATTTAAAAACTTCAAAATGTATGAAAAGCTTGGGAACATAAGAGATAACACTTATTTTTAGTATATCCACACTCACTGCAGAAGGAAATGCTTTTATATCACATATCATATATCATGCTGTTGGTCTTGAGTTATCTATTTTGCAGCATGATACTCATGTGTCCTTTTTAAATTTCAGAAGGCTAAGGCTCTTCTGAGATCCCTCTTTCTTTAAAAATTATAATCACAAAACTGTCAACTCATTCCCTTGGCCCCTATTCAAAATATGTGTGAGTTTTCTTTTTCACGAACTTTTATATTGGTGCAAATTATATTTTTAAAATTCTGCAAACACTTATATTACACTTAGAATGTGCTAGGCACTGTTCTAAGAACTTTATATATATGAACATTAACTCATGCTAATGCACTTTGCTGCAGTCTAACGATGACAACACTATTTTGCCTTTCAAGAATTACTTTACTGGACTCCACAAATTGTATTTTATCTGCATTGTCTAATCCCTAAAAAAACAAATCAAGGGGCAGATGGCATCATTTCCCCATTTGAGGATGAGGAGAATGGGCTGAATGAGGTTATACTGCCCTGGCTCCCTCAGCTGCAATGCCGCTGAGGCAGGACTGCACAGTCAGATATCTGTGACTCCAGTGCTACTCCAGGCTGCTGCTGAGACCTGGTCCCACATTTCCCAAACAGGGGCCCTGAGGACCTGCAGAGGAATTCTTGACATTATGCAAGTTCTCCATAAAAATTTAGCCACACAAATATGTCCATCAGTCCCTTATGAGCGTAACGGATCCCTTTAAGGAAGCTTGAATGGGAATTTAGAGATCAAGGATGAAAAAAGGCATTAGACTGTAATGAGCTATGCTGAGACTTTGATATAAATCTGGGTTTGCATCCCAATGTTGCCACTTGCTAGCTGTCTCTCTCTGGACAACTAATTTAGCTTCTTTGTGTCTCCATCTCTTCATGCATAAAATGAGAGTAATAATACCTGGTAAGATTACCATGAGTAATAAAGACCGTAAAATGCACTGTACATAATATATAGGAGATGCTCAAAATGGAAATGGAAGCTATGTTGTTATTAATTACTATTAGTAATGATGAATATCTGTGTAAAATTATTGTCATCAAATTCCATAATACAAGTTGGGCTGACTTCAAAATGTGTAGCTGGCTTCTTCAGGCTCAATTTCTATTTGGTTTTGCTCCATTAATCTTGAGAGTTATCCCTCAAGACACTTATATCAAAGAGTAATTTGATAGAGCTACAAAAAGAGCAAAAAGAGGTTGCCTGTTTATGTAGTATTCCTTTATAAAACGGCAGAGAAGTACTCACAACTCTGTCATTACATGTTGAAACATAGTGACACGTAATTTCCCTTAACATAACAAAACAAAACTAATCTTTTCTCATTCCTTATACCTGCATCACCATTAGAGTAGATCTGATGTGGTACCAACATGCTTGATCTAAGCACAGTTTCACCATCAAAAGTCTGGAAGAGGTGACCTAGAATGTGCTTCTTAGAAAAGAGACTAGATGTGGAAACCACACTGGGGGAAAATATCTAATGGGAAAAATTGCCAATTATAGTAATCTATATTTCATGAAGCGTCTTCTGCTAGGGACATCTAAGTTTACAACTAAGGTATTGGATTTCTTCCAGTAGAGGTGTACAATTTAAGCATAATCTTCATGCCTCGCCTTGCCATGGCCTCATGATAGATAGAGTTTACTTCTTTATCCCTTGACTTGAGGATGACCAAGTATCATGCTTTGGCCAATAGATGTTAGTGAACACAAGTAAGCAAAGATTTGAAAGGTGCTTGTATGGTTGACTTGTTTTTTCTGTATTCCTGCCATTCACCATGAAAAGTACAAGCTCTGGGTAGACACTGGCGAAGGAGGATGGGAGACACATGGAGCACACCTGGACCCAACGTAACTAAATTTCTAAAAACCAGTGTAAAAGAGAAATTCTTAAAAGTGGCCAGATAAAAAAGAGACGTCACTTACAGAGGACTAGCATAAGAATAATAGCAGATTTAGCATCAGAAATAATGCAAGCAAAAAGATGGAGTAATATCATTGAAGTACTAAGAGAAAGAAACTGTTGACTTAGAATTCTATGCCCCTTGAAAATATTTTTAAAAAACAAAAATAAGATGAAGATTTTTTCAGACATGCAAAAGCAGAAAGAATTTGTTACCATCAGATCTGCACTAAAACTAATGTGAAATGACATTTTTTCAGGCAGAAGAAATGATACCGGATGGAAATATGGATCTACACAAGGGAACAAACAGCACCAGAAAGGGTAAACATAGGTAAGTAAGTGATTGCTTAGACAAAAACAGTAACAAAGTAATGTCAAGTTGTTTCATATTAAAAAGTGAAATCCATGACAAAAATAGCACAAAAACCAGAAAGGAAGAAATGTAAGTACACGATTGCGAGGTTCCTATACTCTACCTGAAATGATATGCTACCATTTGAAGGTAGACTGTGATAAGTTAAAATGTATATTTTAATCCCTAAAGCAACCACTAAAATAACAAAACAAGAAGCTATAACTAACAAACAAAAGAAATAAAACAGAATAATAAAAATGATCAATTAGTCCAAAAGAAGGCATAAAAAGGGGTAAAAGGGTTAAAACAGATGGAACAATAAAAAACCAACACCAAGGTGCTAGATTTAAACTTCACCATATGAATAATCACCTTGAACGAAAATGGTCTAAACAATATAATGAAAGGCAGAGATTGCCAAATTGAATAAAAACAGTAAGGCTCAACCAGATACTGCCTGCAAGAAACTAACTTCAAATACAGAGACACAAATAGGTTAAAAGTAAAAGGATAGAAAAGCATACTATTGCAATCTAACCAGAAGAAAGCTGGAACAGTTATATTAATGTCAAACAAAGTAGATTTCAAATCAAAGAATATTATCAGGCATAAAGTAGGTCATTTCCTGATATAAAAATGAGTCAATTCCTAAATGTTTATGCATTCAATTTTAGAGCTTCAAAATACATGTCGCAAGAAGAAATAGAAAAATACACAATTTTGTAGGGCAGGTTTCAAGTCCTCTTTCAATAATTGAAAGAACAAGTAGAGAGAAAATCAGCAAGGTTACAGAAGATATAGACAACACTATGACCCAATTTGACCTAATTTACACTTAAATAACACTCCACACAATAGCAGAATACACATTCTTTTCAAGTACACATGGAACATGGAACATGATAGACAATATTCTGGAACATTAAAAAGGTCTCAATAAATTTACAAACATTCAAATCATACAAAGTATGTTCTATGACTACACTGGAATTAAATTAGAAATAGTAACAGAATTATCTCTGGAAAATCCACAAATATTTGGACAAGAGTAATACTTTATAAATAACCTGATGAGTCAAAGAAGAAATTGAAGTGAAAATTAGACAATATTTTGAATTGAATGAAAATAAAAACAACATGCCAAAATTTGTGAGATGCTGCTAAAGCAGTACTTGGGGCAAATTTATAGCACTAAACTCTATATAAAAAAAGAAGAAAGGTCTCCAATCAGTAACCTCTGCTCCTACCTTGCAAAGTAGGAGAAAAAAACACAGAGCAAATAAAACTCTAAATAGAAATAAGGAAAATTATACAGATCAGAGGGGAAATTAATGAAACAGAAAATGAGAGAGAGAGAGAAAATGAATATCAATAAAACCAAAAAGTAGTACTTTGAGAGGATTAATAAAATTGATAAACCTCTAGCCAGACTGATCTGGGGGGAAAAAAACAGAGGGCACAAATTGCCAATATCAGGAATGAGAGAGGGGCATCACCACAGATACTAAAAAGAATAATAAGGAAATATTATGAAACACTTT